ACATCATCTACCTGGACTCGTGTAAGGCATTTGACACTGTCCTGCATGACATCCTTGTCTCTAAATTGGAGAGACATGGATTTGATGGATGGACCACTTGGTGGATAAGGAATTGGCTGGATGGTTGCACTCAAAGAGTTATGTTCAACGGCTCAATGTGCAAGTGGAGAACAGTGACAAGTGATGTTCCTCAGGGGTCGGTACTGGGACCGGCCCTGTTCAACATCTTTGTTGGCAACATGGACAGTGGGATCGAGTGCACCCTCAGCAAGTTTGCCGATGACACCAAGCCGTGTGGTGTGGTTGACATGCTGGAGGGAAGGGATGCCATCCAGAGGGACCTTGGCAGACTTGAGAGATGGGCCCATGTGAACTGCATGAAGTTCAGCAAGGTCAAGTGCAAGGTCCAGCACATGGGTCAGGGCAATCCCAAGCACGGCTATAGGCTGGGCAGAAAATGGATTGAGAGCAGCCCTGAGGAGAAGGACTTAGGGGTATTGGTTGATGAGAAGCTCAATATGATGCAGCAAAGTGTGCTCGCAGCCCAGAAAGCCAGCCGTGTCCTGGGCTGCATCAAAAGAGGTGTGACCAGCAGGTCCAGGGAGGTGACTCTCCCCCTCTATTCTGCTCTTGTGAGACCACACCTGGAGTGCTGTGTTCAGCTCTGGGGCCTCCAACATAAGAAGGACATGGAGCTGTTAGAGTGAGTCCAGAGGAGGGCCACAAAGTTGATCAGAGGGCTGGAGCATCTCTCCTATGAGGACAGGCTGAGAGAGGTGGGGTTGTTCAGCCTGGAGAAGAGAAGGCTCGGAGGAGACCTTATAGCAACCTTCCAGTACCTGAAGGGGCCTACAGAAAAGATGGAGGGGGACTTCTTAGACTGGTTACAAGGGCATGTAGTGATAGGACAAGGGGTAATGGTTTTAAACTGTGAGAGAGTAGATTTACACTAGATATAAGGAAGAAATTCTTTGCTGTTAGTGTGGTGAGGCACTGGAACAGGTTGCCCAGAGAAGTTGCGAAGACCCCCTCCCTGGAAGTGTTCAAGGCCAGGTTGGATGGGGCTTTGGGCAACCTGGTCTAGTGGAAGGTGTTCCTGCCCATGGCAGGGGGGGTGGGACTTGATGATCTTTGGGGTCCTTTCCAACCCAAACCATTCTATGATTCTATGGAAGCAAACTTTAATTAAAATTAGTCTTGAATAAGAATTCATGTGCAGGACATTGCATGTAAACTGAAGGCAGAGAGGGTTTCTGCCAGAAAAGGTTTTAGATTTAGTTTCTTCATCTAGGAAATTAAGATTATAATATTTACTCCTCTCACAAGATGAGCCGAGAGCTTAAAACCTACTCATGCCTCATAAACATTGTAAGATATCTTGATGAAAGATAGTTGTTTACAGAAGTCCAAAGTATTGATGGATTGGTTCTTTTATTAAACCTGCATTGTTCTATTTTGATCTTAAGACTGCTATTGCATTTCCAAGGTGCCCAACCCAGAGACATGCTGAAAATTGACCTCGATTTAATATTGCTGTATTTTTCATTTCCTCCTCTTACTGCCTTGTCAGTAGCAATGAACTTTAATTAAAGTACACAACTATTTAGAAGTTCTTTTATACTCTATTCAGTATGAGTTAAGTACTCCAGTATGTTTTCAAATGTATTGAAACAATATACCTGTTAATTTACAAAAAAATGAAAGCTTAGGTTTAGCTACTCCATTAACAACCTTAACATCTCCTCCACTTCTTCTAAGACTAGTTTATTGATTCACAGCAAGTGTAATTTATGAAGTCCATGAGACCATTTCTTATTTTACACTGATACAAGTGAGATCAGAGTCTGTGTGTGCACATGAGCTGCTTTTAAGGCATTTCTGCTTGCAGTGTAGAGAAGGTAAATGTGACCTCTGTTAAGCAGGTCTGGATGGATGGGAGAAGAAAGGGCTGCTGAATTATGCCCCTGTCATATAGCCTAGAGGATGCACCACACTGCACTGGAAAATGTTAAAGGTGGAAGGAGAACACTAAGAACTTCTTAGTGTTCTTTTTCCAGTAAATTCTTCCATGGTAGATATAACCACAAACATTAGTTACTGAATAGGATAGCATGTAATTCAAGATGCGAGGGCCATGCAAACACAATCACACATACATAGATATGCTCAACTGTGAGTGATCATTTACCATCTACAATACTCCATATTTAAGCATACGTGAACAATTTCATTGTTAGAAGTGATTTGTTTTGTGTACTGACATGAAAAAAGCAAAATTAAAGCTGTAAAAAATTTACACACAAGCTGAAATAGTCTATGCTTACTTGACAGGGTTCTTGGCAGCATCTGGATCCTGAGCAGTTACTGTTCCTATTACACTGTTTATTGGAACATCTTCTTTCACTTCCATTATGTATGCTGGTCTGCTGAACACAGGGGGTTCATCTACATCCTCCACCTGAATTCTGACTGTAGCTGAGTCCTTGAATGGCCCCAGGTAGAGGAATCGAGGGTCCACGTGAGTATTGCTGGCTTCCACTTTCAGAATATACAGGTTTTTATTTTCAAAATCCAGTGCCTGGGAAGAGAAAAAAAAAATTTTGAGACGTCTGTGGGGATTGCTGTGGCTTGCAGCCAGATGAGCCAAATGAATGGGAGATGTCATGAAGAGGCTTGTGCTAACTAACAGGAGACTGAACTGGAATTAAAATGCCAGCAGAAAGGGGAAAGACAGGGCTCTATGTCACTGATGATACAGTGTAGGAAAAACCCCCACTTTTTTGGGGAATTCTATGCCTGGAATTCTAAAACATCAAGTAATCTTTCCTTCTCAACTAGTCTTAACTCTTCATGCCTTTTATTCTGTCATTTTTTGCATTTTGATGTTTTCTTGCCTATTCCTTGCCCCTAAGCACCACACACTAAATGGGGGAAGATTTTCTATGAGCTGCTTGTTTAAAGATTGGTATTCCATCACTGAAATGAAACACTGTGGCATCTAGTGTCTGGACATCCAGGACCACCCATCAAGGAAGACATGATTTTATGATAGGCTATGAATATATCACACTCTATTAAAAGCAAGAAGAAGCAGCATTTAGTGACTCTTTGTTACGGTACTTAGAGAAATGTGGGGAAAGAG